GCAAGACTTCTCATTTACATTTTATAAGTTTTTTTTATGATGAAAATGAGGATTTCTGGACGCCAACAGTGGGGAGAGGATTGAACCAACAGGGCAATAAACATTTATTCACGTACTTCTAAATGCCTTTTTTTGTAGAGTAAGTCTTTCTTGTTCTGACTTTCCATTCTACCTTGATATGTGTTGAAAACTCCCTTCCTTGATATATTTTATACTGTGTGCTTACTTTGTATATAATAGTGCTCCCAATTTTAGCAAAAATTGTACAAAATAAAACAGACTTATTTGCCAAAATCCTGAAAGAAAAGTTAAGCTTTAAGAAAGTAAGAATTTAATGGCTGCTCTCTAAAAGTCTACAAGCAATAAATGCTGGAGAGGGTGTGGAGAAAAGGGAACCCTCTTACACTGTTGGTGGGAATGCAAATTAGTACAGCCACTATGGAAAACAGTGTGGAGATTTCTTAAAAAGCTGGAAATAGAACTGCCATATGACCCAGCAATCCCACTTCTGGGCATACACACCAAGGAAACCAGATCTGAAAGAGACACGTGCACCCCAATGTTCATCGCAGCACTGTTTATAATAGCCAGGACATGGAAGCAACCTAGATGCCCATCAGCAGACGAATGGATGAGGAAGCTGTGGTACATATACACCATGGAATATTACTCAGCCATTAAAAAGAATTCATTTGAATCAGTTCTAATGAGATGGATGAAACTGGAGCCCATTATACAGAGCGAAGTAAGCCAGAAAGATAAAGACCATTACAGTATACTAACACATATATATGGAATTTAGAAAGATGGTAACGATAACCCTATATGCAAAACAGAAAAAGAGACTCAGATGTATAGAACAGACTTGTGGACTCTGGGAGAAGGCGAGGGTGGGATGTTTCAAGAGAACAGCATTGAAACATGTATATTATCTAGGGTGAAACAGATCACCAGCCCAGGTTGGGTGCATGAGACAAGTGCTCGGGCCTGGTGCACTGGGAAGACCCAGAGGGATCGGGTGGAGAGGGAGGTGGGAGGGGGGACCGGGATGGGGAATACATGTAAATCCATGGCTAATTCATTTCAATGTATGACAAAAACCACTGCAATGATGTAAAGTAATTAGCCTCCAACTAATAAAAATAAATGAAAAAAAAAAAGAATTTAGAGGATGGGAGATAAGATGGCACTATAGAAGGACCTTGAGTTCGTGCCCTCTCAGGAACACACCAAAATCACACCTCACTGCTGAACAGTCATTAGTGAAAAAGACTGGAACCTACCAAAAAGATATTTTACATCCAAAGACAAAGGAGCCACCACAGGACGATAGGAGAGGCACACTCTTGATGTAATCAAATCCCATACTCCCCAGGTCGGCAACCCATAAACTGGAGAATAATTATATTGCAAAAGTTCTCCCACAGGAGCAAGAGTTCTGAGCTCCAAGTTAGGCTACCCACCCTGGGGATCTGGCATCTGAAGGGGGAGCACCTGGAGCATTTGGGCCTAAATTTCTGGGGCTCCACAGGACTGAGGGAAATGGAGACTCCAATCTTGGGGCGTATTCATTTGTGTGAACTCTTGCTGGCAGCTGACTCCTTGCTTGGGTCATTACCACCAAGACCTGGCCCCACCCAACAGCCTATAGTTCTGGGATGCCTCAGGCCAAGCAACAGGGAAGGAACACAGCCTATCAGCCGATAGGCTGCCTAAAGACTTCCTGATCCCACAGCCACCATGCCCCTTGACTCAGCCCTGCTCACCAGATAAGACACCAAGAGCAAGAAAACTACAATCCCTCAGTCTGTGGAATTCATCGGAAACTGCCCTGAGATCAGGTGGGCGCTGGCCCTTGGGTGACAAGAGGAGAGAGTACTGCTGGGATACAGAGGACATCCCCTGCAGAGGGCCACTTCTCTAAGGCTGAGAAACATAACTAACCTACCACATACACAAAAATTCAAACAGAAATTTAGACAAAATGAGATGGAAAAAATTATGTTCCAGACAAAGGAACAAGATAAAACCCCCAAACATCAACTCAGTGAGTGGAGAAAGGAAGCAGTCTACCCAAGAAAGAATTTAGAGTAATGACTGTAAAGATAATCCAAGACCTCAGGGAAAGAATGGATGCACAGAGTGAGAAGTTAGAAAAAGTTTTTAACAGGGTTAGAAAATATAAAGACCAACCAGACAGAGTTGTAGAATACAATAACTGAAATGGAAAATACACTAGAAGGAATCTGTAGCAGAATAAATGAGGCAGGATGGATCAGGGAGCTGGAAGAAAGAGGGTGGAAATCACTGCTGCAGAACAGAAAAAAAAAATGAAAAAATGAGGATAGTTTTAAGAGACCTTTGGGGCAACATGTGACACATTAACATTCTCATTATAGGGATCCCAGAAGGAGAAGAGAGAGAGGGCCTGAGAAAATATCTGAAGAGATAATAGCTGAAAACTTCTAACAGGGGAAAGGAACCAGTCACCCAAGTCCAGAAAGTGCAAAGAGTCTCATACAGGATTAACCCAAGGAGGAACATGCCAAGACACATAGCAATCAAAATGACAAAAAGTAAAGATACACAAAATGTTAAAAGCAACAAGGGCTAAGCAACAAATAACATACAAGGGAACTCTCACAATGTTATCAGCTGATTTTTCAGTAGAAACTCTGCTGGCCAGAAGGGAGTGGCGTGATACACATTAAGTGATTAAAAGAAGAAACTGCAAACAAGAATCTTCCTCTACCCAGCAAGGTTCTTGTTCAGATTTGATGGAGAAGTCAAACTTTATAGGCAAGCAAAAGCTAAAGTGATTCATCACCACCAAACCAGTTTACACCAAATGCTAAAGAAACTTCTCTAGGTGGAAAACAAAGGGCCACAACTAGAAAAAAGCTCACTGGTAAAGGCAAACATCCAGTAATGGTAGGAAATTATCCACACACAAACTAGTAGGGAGGTTAAAAAAGTAATGGAATCATCTGTATCCACAATAAACAGTTAAGGGACACACAAAACAATTAGATGTGAAATATGATATCAGAACCAGTAAACAAGGGTGGGATGTTCTGAGAGAATAGCATTGAAACAAGTATACTATCAAGGGGGTGGAACAGATCACCAGCCCAGGTTGGATGCATGAGACAAGTGCTCAGGGCTGGTGCACTGGGAAGACCCAGAGGGATGGGATGGGGAGGGAAGCGGGAGGGGGATCAGGATGGGGAACACATGTAAATCCATGGCTGGTTCATGTCAATGTATGGCAAAAACCACTACAATATTGTAAAGTAATTAGCCTCCAACTAATAAAAACAAATGAAAAAAAACAACAACAAACCAGTAATCGTGAGAGGAGGAGAGTAAAAATGCAGGTATCTAAAATGCATTTGAAATTAAGATATCAGCAACTTAAAGCAATTGTGTGTGTGTATATGTATATTGTGTATATATATATATATATATATATATAGAGAGAGAGAGAGAGAGAGAGAGAGAGAGACTACTATACTAAAACCTTATGGTAGGGACTTTCTTGGTGGTCAGATGGATGAGAATCTGCCTTCCAAAGCAGAGGATGCAGGTTTGATCACTGGTCCAAGAACTAAGATCCCACAAGCCATGACAGAGCTAAGCCACATGCTACAACTAGAGAAGACTGTGCACTGCAGTGAAGAGCTTGCTCACTGCAGCAAAGACCCAGCACAGCCAAAAAGCAAAATGAAACGAAAACAAAACAAGAACAAACCTCGTGGTAATCTCACACCAAAAACCTATAATAAATACATACAAAAAATGAAAAAGAAATCCAAACACAACACTGAAGATAGTCATGAAGAAAGTAAGAATTTAAATTAAGTGGGGGAAACAGCTTCATGAGGGTCCCAAGAGTTCTGTGTTTTTGGGAAACACTGTTCAAATTTTGACTGTATAACCATCTTTTATACAAAATTGAGAAATTAAGAAAAATGTTACACCAGCCTACCACCACCCACCCAGTACAGTGACTAGCATGGCTCTGTGAATTTCCTTTTACTGTTTCCTGTGCATGTCATAAGTGGTTTTAATGACAGTGAATGTATCATTTTGTATTTTGTTTTTGTAATTTATTATCATTAACATTTTTTGTTGTTGCTTTGTTTTCATAACTTTTTTTACATTAATGCATTAATATATTAATATATATGTATATATATAGTATCACAAAAATATGGAACGCTTCACGAATTTGCGTGTCATCCTTGCGCAGGGGCCATGCTAATCTCTGTATCGTTCCAATTTTAGTATATGTGCTGCCAAAGCGAGCACTTTCATAACTATTTTTAAGTGACAATGTCATACCATAATCAGCCATTACTTAAATGAATATATATGTGTATTTATATGTTGCATATAGTTATTTATTATCACAGTTATTTATCATCACAGATGATAAGGTGAAATTCTTTGGGCATATAGCTTTTTCCATACTTAAAACCTCTGCTTATTTTTTATTTATTTAAAAATTTATTTTATTGAAGTATAGTTGGTTGACAGTGTTGTGTTTCTGCTGGACAGTGTTGTGTTTCTGCTGTACAGTGTGATGACTCGTGTGTATATATGTACATATACACACGTGTTCATATTCTTTCCCATTGTGGTTTATTACAGGATATTGAATATAGTTCTGTGTTATACAGTAGGACCTTGTTGTTATCCATCCTATGTATAATCATTTGCATCTGCTAATCCCAATCCATTTCTCCCCTACCTACTTCCCCTGTGGCGACCACAAGTCTGTTCTCTCTGTTCTTACAATAGATTCTTAGTAGAAATTCTACATCAAAGTATGACTTTTTATGGGTTTTGGTACATGTTGGGTTTGTTCTATTTTAAAACAAGTGTTTGGGGCTGAGTTCTTTACTTACTATTGTGATTTGGGGGTATATAAAGAAGTTTTGTTTTTTTAGCTACATTTTCCTACTGCTCTGAAATCTCTCTCTTTTTTCCTTTTTTAGGCGACATTGATTACCCACCCAGCTCAGCATCTTACAGGAAAATCATAGCCCTTCCTAGAGGAATATGAGCACAACAGGAAGGTGTCACTGACTCTGTATTAAAATTTTAACCTGTCCCCTCAACAGCTACAGAATTTGGAAGCTGAATCAATGTTATCAGATGAGTTAGAATCCAAACCAGAGGTGAGCCCAAACAACTGGTTTCTTTTTCTTTTGGTGGGCTGTGTTAGTTTGTTCTTGGTTCAAGAGTCAGCAAACTTTTTCTGTAATGTGCCAGGTAGTAAATATTTAAGTTTTGTAGGTTGTGTTTTGGTTGTAAATACTAGTTTGTTATTTTTCTATTACTAATTACTTTCTCAAAAAATTTAAAACTTCAGTTCTTACCTTTTATGACTTTATATTTGTTAGTTTTGGGGCTTCCCTTGTGGCTCAGCTGGTAAAGAATCCGCCTGCAATACGGGAGACCTGGCTTTGATCCCTGGGTTGGGAAGATCCCCTGGGGAAGGGAAAGGCTACCCACTCCAGTATTCCGGTGTGGAGGATTCCATAGACTGTATAGTCCATGGGGTCGCAAAGAGTTGCACATGGCTGGGAGACTTTCACTTTCATATTTGTTATTTAAATAAATATAAATTATTATACATTTAGATAATATAATGACAAAATTTATTTTTTATGTGGCATACATATGTATACATATGTAAATCTTTACTACCACAAACCATGTTAATTAATTTTGTATATATTAATATAATTATATTGGTTATGTAATTGTATATATTAGTAAGTTTTCTTTTTAAATGTGATTAAGGGATTTAAACGTAATTTTTATTCACTTTTCTCATTCTAATTTTAGAACATTTGTGTTGTTTAGTGGAAAGATAGCTAAATTTGGAATCATGTTACCTAAGTATAAAGACTGACACTGCTCCTAACTAGTGATGTGACCTTGGACTAGTGATTTAGTGTCTTCATCTTGATTTCTTACCTTTAAAATCATGTGCAATTTTACTGAGTTCAGTGAGGATTAAAAGAGCCAATACACAGAAAAGTGCTTTATAAGGTATATTATAATCATACACATTGTTGCTGTTGAATTTGTAATAGCTATAATTTATAACTATAACTATAATTTATAACTATAACTATTTATAACTATAATTATTTTTATCATTTCTCTGTTTTGTGGAAGGTTATTACTTTCCATATCATTCAATTTTTGTCTAGAATAGAACACTTAATAAAAATAACTTATAATATTTTGTAGTTAATCTGGTTTTTCTATGAATAAGGCAGATAGTAGTGAGCAATCAAGACTTAATTATCAATACATAGTCTCTTTTTGGTAAATTCAGAAGTTTAGATATATTTCTGACAACCTGTATTATTTGTTGTCTCCACATCCACTCCTTCCCCTCCAGCTCCTGGTACAGTTTGTTCAGAATACGTCCATCCCCCTGGGACAGGGGTTAGTAGAATCAGAAGCTAAAGACATAACTTGCTTGTCCCTACTTCCAGTGACTGAAGCCTCAGAATGCAGTCGGCTAATGTTACCAGGTAAAAATTAGTATCATCAAAGATAAGATAAACAAGACTTACGAACTTAGCCTCCTCTGTGGTACTAGTAGAATGGGATAACTTTATAACTGACTGGTAGAAACTCTAAAACTTAAAGGAGTCATGGTGAAAAGCAACCATGGGAGTCATAGTGCATTGATAGCTTTTTTGTTTAATTTTTTGGCTATGCAGTGCAGCCTGTGGTATCTTAGTTCCCCAAACAAGAATTGAACCTGGTTCCTCAGCATTGAGAGTGTGGTGTCCTAACCACTGGACTGTCAATTCCCTGCACTGGTAGTTTTAAGTCATAAGAACAGATAGGAACACCTATAGACTGAGAGTGAGAAGAAAAGGAGGCCAAGGCAGAACTGCATGGAACTCAAGGTACCTATTCAAGGCACAGGGTGAGGGTGAGGCAGGAGAGCCTGTGAAGAAGGGAATAAAGAGAGGCTAGAGCAAAAGGAGGAATACTGGTATGAAGTACAGGCATGGAACCCAAGGGAATGGTCAGATTGACAAATGCTTCTAAGAGGCTAGTGATAGAGGGACCATCCTAATGAGATAGGCTTCCCTCGTAGCTCAGTCAGTAAAGAATCTGCCTGTAGTGCAGAAGATCCGGGTTCAATTCGTGGGTCAGGAAGATCCCCTGGAGAAGGAAATGGCAACTCACTCCAGTATTCTTGCCTGGAGAATTCCATGGATAGAGGAGCCTGCGGGCTACAGTCCACGGAGTCACAAGAGTTGGACAGGATTAGTGACTAAACCACCACCAGTGCCATAGGATCGGTGAAGTCATTATTGCCCTAGGCAGGACATGTTCCTTGGAGAGGGAATGGAAAGCCAGGCTGTAGCAGGTTGAGATATCACTGCAAGGATGAGTTTAGTTGAGGAAATATACTTTCTAAAGGTTGTCTTGCTATGGGAAGGAAAAAGAGAAGGATGTAGAGTAGACTAAAGAGTTAATTTTTTTTAAGATTTGAAATATTAGAGGGTGGTTTTGTGTTAAGGGGAAAGAATCCATTAGAGAAGCTGTGAACAGAAAGAGTGGGTAATTGGTAAGGAGACTTCAGGAGAGGTAGGAAGAAGTAGTAGAATTCTGAGCATGGGTAGTGAGATTAGCTTTGTATGAGAAGAAGGAGATCCCATCGCTTGACTACCAGCAAGGAAAGTATTATTTTTGGATGCAGTGAATTCTTTATTTTCTGGAAATTGAAATATTTAAAATTTGGAATATTAATGTTAAATCAGGGGAGGGTCATATGTTGTGACAACCTATTTGTTATAAAATCTTTAGGTTACTATTCTCTAGTGGTGTTCTTTTCTCTTTGATTTTTTTTTTCTCTCTGATTTTTGAAATGACTTAAGGGCAGATATATTCAACCAGTGTTGATTTAAGGTGTCTCTATCTAGCTCCTATCTTTCCCACAATCTTCCGTCTCTCAGCTCCCATTTTTCTACTGGTATGTTGGTAGTCTTTCCAAATCCTTGTGGATTTTCAATATGTGAAAATTTCCTTGTGCTAATAAGTGTTGATCTTCATTAGGCTTTTTCCCCTAAATTTTCTCTAATTTCAGTTTATTGGACAAATATTTTTTAACCATAATGAAGTGAAAATAGAAACAAGAGCATCCATATTCTTTACTACATTACCTTCTTTTAGTTTTAACTTTGATTTAAAATATTTTAGACAACCAGATATAGATAATAGTAAAGGAAAACCCAAGTACTCACCTCCCAGCTCATGAAACATGCTATTAGAAACACAAACATACCTGTACATACCTCGCTAACCTCATTCCCCTCCCTCCTAAATACGTGTGGATATATAACCTACTTATTTTTAGTTGGGATATGTGCTAGACACAGAAAAGCACAAAACTATATGGATATACATTTTGAGGAGTTATTAAGGAAGGAGATACCCACCACCCAGTCAAGAAGGAGAACATTGCCAGCTTCCAGGCCTTGCATGTGTTTCTCCTTGATAAAGAAAAACTGTTCTTCCATATGTCACCACTGTGCTCAATTTTTTGACAATTAATTCTTTGTTTTCTAAGTCCTGGAGAAGGGAAAGGCTACCCACTCCAGTATTCTGGCCTAGAGAATCCCATGGACTGTATAGTACGTCAGGTCTCAAAGACTCAGACACGACTGAGCGACTTTCACTTCACTTAAGTTTAATCCCCCAAGTCTCATTCCAGAAAATAAAGAATTCATTGCATCCAAAAATAATGCTTTCCTTGCTAATAGTCAAGTGGACTTTAAATGAGTGGAATCATATGAATATATCTTGTTGTACCTTTCTTCTTTTACTCTATATTTGTGAGATTCATCCTTGTCAACCTGTTCAACAGCATAGCTGCGGTTTGTTTGGTTTCATTGCTGTATACTGTTCTATGAGTGTACCACAACTTCTTGATCTATGCCACTATTGATGAATATGTAGTTATTTTCCAGCATCATATTATGACAAACAGTGCTGCTATGAACTGTATTTAAGAACAGGCTTTGTTTTGTGTGTGTGGTTAAAATATATATAGAATAAAACTTACCATTTAACCAATTCGGTGGGATTAAGTTCATTTACTTTGCTGTGCAATTTCATTAGGCTTTAGAACCCCAGTGCTGGGTCTAGGCTTCTACTTTATTCCTATAATCTTATTGGTTATCTCCTTCAAAAAAGAGAAAAATGTAACCTGCATTCTATGAAGGTGAATGAAACCCCTGAAAACATTGGATGCTTTAGCACAGAAGTGTAATTCCTCATTATGTTGCAATTAGAATCTTTGGAAATTCATCCCCTCCCCTAGAATAAAGCTCTAGAAGCAAGTCTTCTGAATTATTTCTTTACATCTGGTATAAACCCAGAACCCTAATGAAACATGTTGATGATTCTGTACAGTTTCAATTGTGTTGCAGGCTGTGATTTTTCCCTTAATGACTGACCAGACCTCTCAAATACATGTTATAAAAATTAGAGCGGCATCTTTTCCCAAGTAAAACAGTTGAAAATTTAAATCCTATTCTTGAGTTAATCTTTACTTAGCCTCAAAAGGACAAAGGTCTATAATGTCCAAATGTGGATGGTTTGTTATTAGTTACTGCCAACCGCCAGAGGAGTCTGCCCCTTACATTTTGATTGATGTCCTTTAGAGCTTTAGCTGCCTTTCACACTCTGTTCTTTTCTGAGGCAGATTTTATATTCATAAAATGAAAATGCTATTTGCTCTTATTAGGGTGTTAGTTTCTAAGTGACTAGTTACTTGTAACTAAGTAACTAGTTACTAAGTAACACAAGGGTGTTAGGTACTGTGTATCAAAATGGTGAACTCCTTGGAGATAACTACTACATAAAGCTGTGGTATTTTCCCTTACTAGATGATACTCCAAATCATATGAACTCCTCCAAGGAGGTTCCTTCCTCAGCTGTGTTGAGAAGCCTTCAGGTGAATGTGGGTCCAGACGGAGAAGAGACGAGGGCTCAGACTGTACAGAAGTCTCCAGAGTTTTTGTCCACTCCAGAGTCCCCTAGCTTGTTGCAAGATCTACAGCCAAGTGATAGCACTTCTTTTATTCTTCTTAACCTAACAAGAGCAGGTATTCTTTATTTTTTTCTGACCTCTACTCATTCTTAAGAAAAAAACTTGGAGGCGGGGCAGGAGGGTGGAGGAGGAATAATTAACTTAGTCATACTAGAAATGGAGAGAAGCTATTATTTTATTATTTTGGAGAATTGGTGTAGTTTGGTGATCAATTGAACTTATAGAGGAAAAAGGCAGACTCTCAGATGACTTAACATTTTCTTGTTTGGGGGAGTTCAGTGGTGTGTTCAGCTAGATGGTGCACACAGGAAGAACAGGACGGGGGTGAACGATTTGTGCCTATTGATGTTGAGATTTCACAGGAAGACTTTGGAGAGTTAGAAATAGGAATCCAGAGTTCTAGACAGGTATGGTGTGAAATGAATAGTTTTTAGTGCTTACCAGCATTTGGGAGCTATATGAAACAATGAGCATGAATTCTTTGATTCAGGAGTAGTCTGGAGCATAAACAGAAACGAGGGCACATCTGGGACCCTGAAAAAAATTTTAAGGGGGTGATAGTAGAATGGGAAGGAGCCAGTAGAGAGGGATCAAGAAAACTGAATGAGAATGATGTGGGGAAAGCCACATTTAGTATCTTTTCTTCTGTGAATCATACCAAATACTACAAATTGGGCCAGTGAGATGAGGACTGGGAAGTGTATGTCTGGTAAACTTAGCAAGAGCAGTTGTTACTGAGGCAGGGGAGATGGAGCCAATTAAAAGAGGTGGGGAGTGGACAGCAGGTGAGAAAGTAGATGCACAAGTTAGAAGTTAAGAAACTTCAAGAAACATGACTTTGAAGGAATAGGTGAGCAGGTGATATTTAGAGTCATACTTGAGATTTTCTATAAAAAAGAAAAATGTGGGAGAGGCTTGAGCTTAGACAGATCGAAAGGCTGAAAGAGAAGCTGTAAGTTAGCCACTAAGGAGGAATGGGTTGAAGGTGGAGAGGAGATAACTAAAAGATAGGATTGGATCCTAGAGGTAAGGGTTAGCCGGGTTGCTAGGAAACACACTTTGCCTCTGAAACAGGAGGAGGTAAGATAAAGACTAGTCTCTCAGCTGGGAGTAGAGAGATGATGACCTAATCTTGCATGAGAACAGAAGCTTGAGGTGAGACGTGAAAGTTTGGAATAGCTGATTCAGGACATGGAGAGATTCTGAGCCACGGTCAGTCACAGGGATTACTTGGTGGATAACTTGCATATATCCTCTTGTTTCTTCCAGGTCTGGGCTCTTCAGCCGAACACTTGGTATTTGTACAAGATGAGGCAGAGGATTCAGGGAATGATTTCCTCTCCAGTGAGAGCACAGACAGTAGCATTCCCTGGTTCCTCCGGGTTCAGGAGTTGGCCCATGACAGTTTGATTGCTGCTACTCGGGCTCAGCTGGCAAAGAATGCAAAGACCAGCAGCAGTGGTGAGATCCCTGTGTTATTTTCCTTTGCTGTATTCCATGCAGAGATTTTGGTAAGACACTGGCTATCTTTTGAGTTGCATATAATCCAGATTGTTGGTGAGAGCAGAAGGCTAGAAATGTGTAAATTGCATATCTTAATTTTCTATAAAATAACTCAGCCATGCCAGATTCATGTGCAGAATCAGCTAACAATTGTCAGCTTTAAATAATACACCGAACCCTTTTAAAAAAATTTTTTTCACAGATCTTGGTGTTATCTTCAGTTGATTTTGTACTGTTCTTTATACTTAGAGACTTTACACCATTATGAAATCAAATGGTTTTATCAGTAGAAATAAAACCACAAAACAGATAAAAATGAAATTAATATTAAATCAGTGTGGCAGATGGCAATGTTTCACTGAAACTAGATTGCTGCTCATGGCGGTTTAGCAATTATCAGCTACCATAGTGCTGCTTTTGAGGGGCAGGCAGAGCAAGAAGGGTAGAACCAGTTCTTCAGAAGACCTCTGAATATCCAAATAGGGTATAGTGTGTTTTTTCTTGAGTTCAGCATGCCTGTACTATTTACTCTGGGCCTCTTTTTCTCTAGTAATTTTCAAAGTGTGGTCGCTAGGTCATCTGCATCACCAGTAATTTAGAAATGCACATTATCAGGTCTCATCTTACTGAGTCAGAAACATTTTTAGTTTTTAGTAAGCCCTCATTATAGTTACAATGCATGTTAAAGCTTGAAGACCATGGCTCTATTCAAGCCCCTCCTAAACCACTGCAAAACCTTGATCATAATATTTTTTGCATTAAATCTGCCACTGTATTTTCTCATTAACCTGTGACAATTAAGGTAATACGGCAAAAGATTGAGGTTAGGTACATACTGTCATTACCACAAACATACGATCACTTTCATCTAAGTTGAAATAGAGAAATATTTTAGTTTTGTATGTGGTGCTGTATATCAGGAGTCTGCAAAGGACCAAATAACCACCTGTTTTATAAAGTTTTATAAATAAAGTTTTATTGGAACACAGGCATGCCCATTAGTTACAGACTGTCTATGGCTGCTACTATGGCAAAGTTGAGTAGTTGTGACAGAGATTGTATGGCCTCAAAGCCCATAATATCTTCTGTGTGGCCCTTCACAGAAAAAGTTTACTGATTCCTGCTCTATATAATACTACTATCACTGAAAATTTTATCCCAAATGCAAAGACCTTACCCCCATAACTGTAGAGTCTTGGAAGAGTTTATAGTGTTCTTCAACATATACAATGTAAGGTATATTGAATTTCTTTGTCGCTCTTGCTCTTTTTGGAGGGTAGTGTGCAAAACCATAAGACAGTTCTGCAAACGGTGCTTTGTTTTCAAAAACAGTGGTTTAAAGAGCACTTCTTTGGGAAACTTTTAAACTTAAATACAAGGCAACTCACTCCTTTCTGAAGGATTTTTTTCCCCATATTTTATGGTTATACTGATGCAAAATTGAATGCACGAAGCCATAACTGTCACTGGTTTAAATATCTGGATTAGCATGGGTTTTTACAGACCTTTCGTTAGAAATTAATTAGCTGGAGTTCTGGAGTTACTGGGAAATTTTCTTTATGTTATATGCACTTGTGTGCTGTCTAAAATTTACCCATGTTTTGACAAACTGTTTACAGTATTAAAAAGGAACAAGTTAAGTCATATTAACTAGCAAAAGTCATCTTAGGTTCTGCTCCAACCTGGGAGCAATTAGCATTTGGTGAAGTACAGCAAGGAGAATGTAAGGCAGGAAGAAAATAAGATTAATAGATGGGTCAGATACTGCCTTTGATCAACTGTCAGTTTCCTGAGTATGGTAGGTATAACATGTTATCCTCGTCTTGGGCTTTGACAGGAGAAATTTGGAATTATGAATCTTATTCCTAAGGTATTTGTAATGGAAAGATAAATTCCATATTTTTATAATAGAATTAAGTGGTTGTGAATCTATTTCTCTAATGATGTCCAAAATCAATGTGGATGGTGACTGCAGCCACAAAATTAAAAGATGCTTGCTCCTTGAAAGAAAAGTTGTGACAAATCTAGACTGTATTAAAAAGCAGAGACATCACTTTCCCCATGGAGGTCCATAGAGTTGAGGCTGTGGTTTTTCTAGCAGTCATGCATGAACGTGAGAGTTGGATGATAAAAAAGACTGAGCGCTGAAGAACTGATGCTTTAGAACTGTGATGCTGGAGCATACTCTTTAGAGTCCCTTGGACAGTAAAGAAATCAAACCAGTCAATCCTATAGGAAATCAACCCTGAATATTCATTGGAAGGACTGGTGCTGAAGCTGAAGCTCCAGTACTTTGGCCACCTGAGGCAAAGAGCTGACTCATTGAAAAAGACCCTGATGCTGGGAAAGGTTGAGGGCAAGAGAAGGGGGCGACAGAGGATGAGATGGTTGGATGGCATCACTGACTCAGTGGACATGAGTTTGAGTAAACTCAAGGAGATAGTGAAGGACAGGGAAGCCTGGCATGCTGTAGTTCATGGGGTCACAAAGAGTTGGACACAACCTAGTAACTGAACAATAACAAGTGGTTAAGAATGTTTTTCTCTATTGATGTTCAACTATGTATTGAAGAAAATGAAAGAAAGGATGTACCACCTGCTAATCTGGAATTTATTTTAAGTTTTAGTTAAACTAATTTCATTTAAATTTAAGTAAGTCACTGCAGTATATGTTCCTCTTCTTGCCTCCTTTTATTCTACTTAACAAAAAACTTGAGCAGATACTATCTCTCACTTTTAAAAATGTGATTAGAAATTTTAAAATGTGCTGAATTTTTGCATTCTTAAATATTTCATAATTGAGGAGGGGTGGTACAGGTAATGAGAAGGTGATTCTTATTCTCTAGAGTGACAGAAACAGCCACAGTGACTTCAGAAGATAGAAATCTTAGGCTGGTCGTCTACAAAAGAAATTACTACTGTAAGTCCATGATTAAGCCAGACTGATTGCTCCTTCTTAAAATACAAGTTTTGATTGCCTAGAGCATCAGATGATCTCTAGGACTCCACTTCTGGTGTTGCCATACCTGCTTCCTCACCAATGTGTAATGCAAAGTAGGTTCAATGCAGATTTTTTTTTATTATTATTAAACCATTTTGGATATTTCTTAAATTTGTCAGAGGCCTAGTCTCGTGGCATTTGGTAGTTCTGTGGAGTAAGTAAGTTGATGGGGATGCAGAGCACAATCACTTTCTGTTGTTAAGTGAATATACGAAGATCGCTGGGGAAGGTGAAGGTAGACATGTGATTAATGATCACTAGCAGTGGTTTTATTGTTTGAACCAAAGTATCTGAGCAGAATCCTTCCCTGGATTACAAATATGTGATTCTGTTACAGGAGAAAATGTCCACCTTAGTTCTGGTGATGGGCAACCCAAAGATTCTGGGCCCCTTCCTCAAATGGAGAAGAAGCTCAAGTGTACAGTTGAAGGCTGTGACCGGACATTTGTGTGGCCAGCTCATTTTAAGTACCACCTCAAAACTCATCGGTGAGCCAACCTGAAATTCCATATTTGGAACTCAGGAATGTTGATGTTTCTGAAGGAACTTGACAGAAATCCCCCAACTTGACAGATTAAAGGAAAACAGGAGCTCCAGCTCACTTGTGGTTAAGCTGTCTTTAGTTCTTTAATAGAGACATTTGCATTGTCTAATTTACCTTGTTCTTGACAAATAATTTAATAAGACATTTGTCACCTAAATGTCTTAGAGCAAGAGTGCTCAAAATCTCATCATAAAACATAATTTCTTGGAGAACTTAATAATACATAAGCTTAAACTCTACTCTGAACCTATGAAATCAGTGTTTTCAAGAAGTAGGGCATCTGTAGTTTTTTCGGTTTTTTTTTTTTTTTTCCATTTATTTTTATTAGTTGGAGGCTAATTACTTTACAATATTCTAGTGTTTTTTGTTATACATTGACATGAATCAGCCATGGATTTACATGTATTCCCCATCCCGATCCCCCCTTCCTCCTCCCCCTTCCCTCTCCACCCGATTCCTCTGGGTCTTCCCAGTGCACCAGGCCCGAACAGCATCTGTAGTTTTAACAAACTTAAAGTGATTCTCATACATCCAGATTTGGGATTTACTATCTGTTTTAAGAGTCAATAGGAGCTTTGACTTGTTCTCTCTAGCAAAGAGCATTTTCAGGCTTTGTTGCTTATGTGATTTTTTTTCCTCCAGAAACGACCGCTCCTTTATCTGCCCTGCAGCAGGTTGTGGGAAAAGCTTCTATGTTCTACAGAGGCTGAAGGTGCACATGAGGACCCACAATGGGGAGAAGCCCTTTGTGTGCCCTGAGTCCAACTGTGGTAAGCAGTTCACAACAGCTGGAAACCTGAAGAACCACCTGCGCATCCATACAGGTGCGTGCAACCTCAGCACTCCTGCAGGCCATCTGCTGCTTGGCTCAGCGCTTGCTGGCTGTCCTTAGTTGATGAAGATTGGGATTGTTGCTAGAATTCTGAAGATGAAATTTCTTTTTTTCAGATCCTTAGGGCACTTTTCAGTTATTTCAATAGCATTTATCATCACCTCTTCGTGAGAATGAACAGTTTGATTTCTGCCTCTGGTAGCCTTAAACAGAAAGGAGATGTAAGGCCTTCTTTAATAACAATGATTTGATGAGATATGGACAAAAGTGAGTCTTTCCAGATATCCTTGAACATTACACAGTTTTAATTTTGGTCATTAACATTTAGTGAGTTACACAAACCACACAGATCCTATTTTAAGCACTAACTAGGGTAAGGTGAGGGGAAATACAAAAGCTAAGATTAATCCCTGACTTTGAGTTAACTTTTTTGTTAGAGCCTCACAGCCTGAGAAACAGAATGGAGAAGGGCCTTGTTTTGGGGACAGATGGCATGTTAATATCAAAGGAGCAAAATAAAGATACCCTGACTTCTTAATCTAAAAGTTTAAGGGTGACTTTCCAAACCCCTTGACCAAGCTGTGCTAACTCTCTTGCCAGAGCTTAATCATTGAACCTAAACTACTACTGTAGGATGTGTAGCTATTCTTCCCACTTACTTGCTATCTTCTCTTTCTCTTCCTTGTTTATTCCAGCCTTGCTAAAATGACAGCAGGTACAGATAAGTGGCATTTAAAAAGTGAAAGCCAAGGTGAAGCCACATGTGTTCTGGGGATTTCCTCTAGATTGACATTAACACTGGGATATGTTTTAGGAAAGAATAGCTCTGTTCTCAGCTCATTCTTGAAAGGATAAACTATTCTTGCTCCAAGAAAGCAGTTTGAATAAAAGAACAAGAAAAACATTATCTGAATAGCTAAGGAAAGTAGAATTCATGATGCCTTATTAAATTCAGTAACCGCTTTATCCTTGTGCCTCTCATCTTTGTAGCATTTGATAAAACTGAACATCATTTATTCAGAGTGTGACCTGATTTTCTCTCTTCATTCTGACTCTTGCTAGCTCTCCCTTGTTAATCCAGTTGTGGACCAATTTCAGAAGTTTGAGTTTCTCCCATTTTACTCGATATGCTCTCTTTGCAATCTCAGGCTTCAATTTAATCATTTCTTCTTGGATGCCTCACAGATCTGAATCTCAATAATTAGCATAGTAATAAAAATTAGCATTTATTGAGGCAATTTAATATGTACCAAGCACATATACATTGTCTTATTTAATTTTCAAAGTTCCTTCATGCTTTAGATATTGTGTTTATTGATGGAGAAACAGAGGGATAGAGAGTTAAGGAACTTGTCCAACATTATGCTGCTGAGAAATGGTAGAGCTGGGATTTGAATTCTGGTATGACCCCAGAGCTCTTCCAAGTATTTTATTTTTAAGTGCTGACAACTCATTTTATTTCAGATGTCAGAATTGACCTCAACTCCTTTTTAGTAGTAACGGTAGTGATTAAAGCTGCCAGTTTTAGTGGTTTACCATGAAGACTGCTGTGTACCAGGCACTATGCTTAATGTATTTAACGTATCATTTCATCAAATCCTCAAAGTAATATTTTGAGGTTGTATTATGTTAATTTTATAGATTAAAAAAAAATCATTCTCAGAGATTTTAACTATTTTCCCCATACTGATAAGTGGTTGTGGCAAGACTGGGACTCAGGATTAACTGGCTCATGCTCTTTAACCATTCTGCAGCAATGTCTCTTGAACCTCCAGTCTTCTTTATCTCAGCAAAATTACCGTCCTCTCAGTTTCTGAACAGGAAGGCCATCTCACCTAAGCCAGCTTGACGAAGAGATTTGTGCCACTAGATTCTGGTTAATTGTTTTTTAAATCCTTTTTCTAAGGTTCTTGAGTTCATCTTATTAAACATTTAACCTTATTTATTAACTGGAATTTTCTTTTTTCCTGGCATTCTGTCATATATATCAGTATATTTTTTATTCATTTGGCAACTTTTGGAGTGCATAGCATTCTAAGGTTAGGGTGAGTATACAGATATGCTTTCCAGAAAGTTACAGACTAATGGGAAATCGTAAGCCTTAAACTGTGTGGTACAGTCTGAAAGAACAGTGCAGTCTAGAGCTGTGCTCCTCCCTCCGTCAAGGCCTAGCTCCTATCTTGACACCATGCCAGCCTTACTTGCAGCATTTCCGTGTTTCTCCTTTACTCTCTCACACTCATAACAATTCTGAAACAAGATGTGTTTTCCTAAACCAAGCAGTTCTCTGCAACACCATCTGAGCGTCTACAACTGAACAACTGAATTCTGACACTGTCTGAAGATAGCGTCAGATCCCACATCCTCAGCCTCACAAGACTGCCACTTACTTCAGATGTCAGTTTCAACCTCAGTCTGACTTGGCTACCAGTTGGAGGTTCCCATGACAACCCCCTCCCCCACTTTGGATTTGATTATTTGCTAAAACAGCTCACAGAAATCAGGGAAACGTGTTACCAGCTTATTAAGTAATAAAGGGTATGATAAAGGATACAGATGAGTAACCAGATAAAGAGAAGCATAAGGGTGAAGTCCAGAAGAGTTCCAAGCACAGGCGCTTCTGTCCCTGTGGAGTTGGGGTGTGCCACTTCCTTGGCACATAGACCTGTTCACGAGCCCAGAGGCTCTCTGAACCCTGTACTTTTGGGATTTTTATGGAGGTTTCATCACATAGGCATGATTCATCATTAACCCATTTCCAGGCTGTCTCTCCTCTCTGAAAAATGGGGTGGAGCTGAAATTCCCAAGCTTCTAATCTGGTGACTAGCCCCCATCCAGGAGCCCACCAAGATTCATCTCATTAGAACAAAATACTTTCCTATCACCTAGGAAATTCCATGGGGTTAGGAATTCTGTGTCAGGAATCATGATCAAAGACCAAATACTAGAACAGCAGATTATCCTAGTGCTATTATCACTTAAAAAATTACAAGGAGTTTAGGAGCTCTGCATTAGGAGCTGGGATCCCAGACTAAATGTTAGAACCAAAAATTCTCCTAGCACCCCTGTGTACAAGCATTTTAAGAGCTTTGTGTCAGGAGCCAGGGGCAAAGACCAATATATATATACTTACTTCACACTTGTCATTTTCTGAACTTGCTCTGGGCACTCTCAGTTTCAAGGCTGTGTTCATACTAGTTCTTGTGCCTGAAATTTCCTTTCATCCTTGTCACTTTTTAAGAGCAACTTAAATTCAGCTTTTTAAAAAAATTTAACCACAATAGGAATTTCTTCCCTTTATAAGTACACGTAATCAGTTTTTTATAAAGGAATTTATATTAAAGTTATATATGAAGACGTTTATTTCTCACTAGGTTGTGACCCTTGGGAAATATGGATTGCATCTCTGATATTTTTCATTTTTTATTTTGAAATATTTATAGATTCATGAAGAGTCACAAAAAAAGTACAAAGAATTCTATTTGTGCTTCACCCAGCTTCTGCCCAAAGTGACATGTAGCCATAGTACAGTATCAGGGCCAGAAAGTCAATATTACTGTCAGTCTTCAGTTTTCACCATGCATTTTTCATTTTTAAAATAACAATACTGTAGAAAATGAGAATTACAGAAAAGCACAAAGAAGAAAATAAACCATAATACCACTATCATGATATAACTACTGTTAACACACTGCAACAGATTTTTCTGTATATCTCTGACTAGAAAATTGTTTTTATAAGATGGTATTATGTAATACCTATTTTATAGGCTTCAAAAATATGTATTCTTAATCATAAAACTGAATCTTAAAGAATTGATGTAAGGTAAAAATTCTGAGAGCATATACACTGTTTTCTTGATTTTCTCAGAAGGGATAGGATCACATAAGAAGGTGGTTCAACGAAGCTGGGGCTCAGCCCATGAGGAGGGAGAAGGAGGTATTATGTTCAGAGGTAGCCACTCTAAAGAAAATGGGGGTGGCGGGGTGGAGCTGTGTACCAGAAGATCACTGAGAGGTGATACCTGCTGGATAGTCCAATTGAAATATATAGGGTAAATATAATATAATATATATTATATAATATATAATAGTATAATTAGTATAATAGTATAATTATATATATAATATATAGTGTGAATTCAGTAGATCAGAGTAAGTGATTGAAAATAGGAGAAGGTTAGTGGGAAAAGAGAATAAAAGTCATTTCATCAAAAGACTGAGTCTTTATCTCATTTTCTGTCTCTAGGAGAGAAGCCTTTCCTTTGTGAAGCCCAAGGATGTGGCCGTTCCTTTGCTGAGTATTCTAGTCTTCGAAAACATTTGGTGGTTCACTCAGGTACCATTCGTAGATTTCAGGGAAGATGGAGAGCCAAAAGGGTAAAAGGTTAGGGTAGTAGTATAAAGAAAAACAGATGCCTTGCTTTCCTCCCTTTCTTGACAGAATCAGAAATCAAGGCCCTTGATGCTTACACTCAAAGGGTCATATAATCAAGGGGAAAAGAATCTAATTATTATTTTCAGCTTAGCTATTGAACTGCTTTCTGATCGAGACCTTTCTCTGAGGAAATCAATAAATTTACTTGGCCAGTACTCTGGGTACTTCTGCATTACATCAGATATGGTACATGGAGTTATTCAGAGACTTGCCAAGGCAGAAGTGAACTCAAAGTAGAGTGAGATTCTAGAATGGAATCAGGAACTTGTTCAAATGGCTAGCTGTGGAAAGCAAAGGGAAGCCAGAAGGGGAGGAATGGAGAGAAGGAACTAGAAGTTATTTGTCATGAAGACAACAAAGTGGTTCAGTGGGAGCAAAGGAGTTGGAGAAGTATAATCAGTCAGGGCTGTGAATTTCAGAGCTGAGATCCTACGGGTAGAGCAGGGTTTTAATATTGACAAATTCTAAGCAGAGGTAGCAAACTAATAGTCAGTGGATTAGGTGTGGACTTCCACATGTGTTTTGTTTGGCTTGTAGAGTGTTTTCATTTTATTGTTCTTTATTTTGTTATGTAAAATTTTGTCAAACTTACATAAAAATAGAGAAAAATACTTTTTTATGTAACAATAATGCCATTACCATAATCTATCAAAATTAACAATAACTCCTTGGTTTTATCTCAGACTCAGTCCATGTTTAATTTTTTTCCAATTGTCTCAAAAACGTCTTTTAAAGTGGATTCGTTTAAATCAGGACCCAAAAAAGGTCCAGTTGTTGCACTTGGCTAGTAAGTCCTGAATGTAGATCTATCTATACTTTCTGATTTTCATGTTCTAGACTTACTGCACAACAGAGTCAGTCAGGTCCTATAGCTCATCTCATGCTCTGGATGTGTTGGTTTACCTTATTTTGTGTCATTAAACTTGTTCCCCTATATTTCCTGAAAAATTCAAAGGTTTTGGCAAGAATATGTTATGTGTGGTTGTATGTGTTTCATTTTGCATCACCCCAGGAGGCCCACAGAGCTTGGTTGTCACAATTGATCAGTTGGTTCAGGTGGTTAACACCTTAATCCCCTCATTGTAATGTTCCCTTGCAACCTTTTGACTTAATGATTTCATCTTTGAATGATGCCTAAATTCGTTACTTCGTTGGGGTTATAAAATGTTAATTTTTCTAATTTTGTTATTCACATTTGTTACCTGGAATTATTCTGTGTAATAGGTCTCTATTGACTAAGATTATTTGGTAATTTGCACATGAAAGGTAGGATAAATAAGTAATTCTTTTAACTGAGTTTTCAGAATAAGAAGTGGGTGCTCTGATTACTTCTAGTAGTGTTATTTTCACTGCCTTTTCTCTCTCTTTTGCTACTATTATTTTGAATTCATGTGTTTCTATATGGTCACTATATTTCAGTCCATTATAATTATTTTAAAAAATTAATTAATTTAGCTGCACCGCATCTTAGCATGCAGAGTCTTCTATCTTCACTGCAGTATGTGAGATCTTTAGTTGTTGTATGTGAACTCTTTGTTGTGGCATGTGGAATCTAGTTCCCCAACCAGGGACTGAACCAGACCCCCTGCATTGGGAGCACGAAATCTTAGCCACTGGACCACTGGGGAAGTCCCCATTATAGTTACTTTTTAACAACTTTTGGACCTATAATGCATATACCTTAAAATTCACCTACTGTAAATAAACATGTCAGTGATTTTTTAGACAATGTATAGGATTATACAATTATCCTCACAATCCAGTTATAGAACACTTGTATCACACCAAAAGTTCATTTGTGCCCCTTTGCTATCAGTTCCTCCTCCCACCCCACATCCAAGGAGTCATTGACCAGCTCTCTGCCTCTATAGATTTTGTCTCTTCTGGAAATTCTGGTCATTTCACTTAGTTTTTGCTATCTACTACTTAGATGTAGGCCAGGAGTCTTTGACACTGCCCTAGGTGTGGTTGTCAGGGTAAGTAAAATGGAGATTGAGGGTTTCAGACTTGAAGACATACGGGATAGTTCAGATCACTGTGTACAAGAACAACCAGTGTGAATGTTGAAGACTGAGAGTTGTGGCAGGAAATGAGATAAAGGTATATTATGAATCTAGGGTTGGAATCCTTGAGGATAGTGCATGTCCTTGAGGTTCATGGAAGACTGTATCTAAAAGGAGTAGGAAATGTTCTATGTCTCCCATGATCTTATACCAGAGAGGTTGTTTTGTGGAAGCAGCAGTCCAGTGGGTCTGGAGAGCCTCGGAGGCTGGGTGAATATGCTATGCCTGCCTGGTGGCTTCCAGCCTTCCCCCCGGGAACTGATGGTTGAGAGCCTGGGGAATGCGATAAGGAGCAGCCTCTTCGTGTTTAGTTTGACATCTTCTGGGCTTCTCCATCTAGGGCTTGAGTCCATTCTTTTGCTGTCAGAAATGCACCCTGCCTTTTTGGTCTGTGTTTCAGGAGAGAAGCCACATCAGTGTCAAGTCTGTGGAAAGACCTTCTCTCAGAGTGGGAGTAGGAATGTGCACATGAGAAAGCATCACTTGCAGATGGGAGCAGCTGGGAGTCAAGAGCAGGAACCAGCTGGTAAGGAGAAGACAGAGGGAGGGCTATATTTTGGGGGTTCAAAGAGGCAAATAACTGGCCTGTCTAATACGGAAATGTTCTGCTTCTGTTTTGGGTAGAGAGACCAATCTCATTTGGTGGGCTAGTGGTTTCCAAATACAGCTATACAGTAAAAATTGTTTGCAGGTTTTTAAAACATACATTTTATATTGCTGTCCACTCCTTCCATCCAGCAACACCAAACAACCTGATAAATGAGATTCCTTGGGAGTAAAACCCCAGAGTCTATAGTTTTAAAAGTTCCTCTAGCGAATTTGGTGGTAACTGGTGCTGATGCACGGACAAGCACTTGTCTGTCACTGTGGTGAAGATTTCTGAATTACAGTAGTTTAAGCATTTTTTACTTATCAGTCATGACTCTCTTTTTTTTTTTACCCTAACTTAAATTTGATAATACATTTTATTGTTACTCCTTTCCATGTCTTTCCTTAATCATTTTATTCTGAATACTCCTTTTTAGGGATGCACCTATCCTATTTTGTATGTTAATTATCCAGATGCTGATCACAAGTAAGGGTATTTATCCATGAGGCTCATTTCTTCCCTTCTAGGTTTATTTTTGCTTCTCAAAAGTAAGTGAAATAGGAGGTGACATCCAAGATACAGGTTAACTTTTAGTTCTGAAAGAAAAGGCCAGCTTCCCCTGAAGGAAAATGGGGACCAGGCACAGCCTTGAGTGCTGTATGTCTCTCACATCCTATTCTCTGTGCAGCTGAGCCACTAATGGGCAGTAGTTTGCTTGAAGAGGCTTCAGTAACCAGTAAAAACCTGGTGTCTATGAATTCTCAGCCCAGCCTTGGTGGAGAATCCTTGAACCTACCAAATACCAATTCTATCCTAGGAGTTGATGATGGTAAGACTTTCAACTCGCCTTTATTTGGGGAAACTGGCTGCAACTAGGGACTAAGGAATGGGGATGTCTCCGAAATGGAGGTTTTAATTAATTTCATTTCTTGTGAGTAGAAATGGCATGATTGAATACCATTTGTGTTGTCTCTGAAGTGGATAAGTGAATCTTTAAAAAAAAATTTGTTCATTGAAAAGATAATGTAACAAAAGAATAAAAAGTTTTAAGAAGAAAATTATCCATAATCCTAGCATCCTAGCCCAACTATTTCTATCTTTCCTATTGCAGTTATGGAAGAACTTAACTTTTAAAACATTTAAACAGGACATAACCAGGTTTTACAGAGGAGAATTAAAGCAATTTCTCCATACCTTCAAAAGCCATATCTTCTGGAGAAAAGAAAGGGCTCTGTAGGAAACAGTTGCTCCTCTCTGGTATAGAAAGTTCACCCAAGTTACACAGGCCAGGCCCTCTTCTCTGAAAAACTTAACAGGTGAGGTCAGCATGCATTTATTCAGTGCCTACTTGTGTACCTGGCACCATGGGAAAGATAAAAGTAGAAGACAGGGGCCTTAAAATCTAGTTGAGAAGTCAAAACTTATATTTGGGAAACAACACTGAGTGAGTAGAAGGTAGTGTTTTAAGCAAACATTAAGTTATGTGGTATCCTGGAAGAGCAATGTAAACTAGAAAGCCCCTTTTAATTTATTTGAGAGCTAAGTGGTTTATGTGTAAGCTGTTTCCGGAAGATCTTCATGGTGATTCTGCTGATAAACATTTAATAAGTCAGATCCTGTGTTTTCCTTACTCAAGCCCCAGTCAGTTTTGGTTATAAAGACCATGTTTGTGTAACTTACATATGGAGCGTACAAGGCCCCAAGTGTGCTTCCACAATAAGCCTCTTCTGTCCCATAAATGATACTAGTGGATAACTGAAGCATGAGGCATAGAAATGGCATGGAGCTCCTTAGCCAGCCGTAAGGAAGAAGATCTAAAAGGAGGAAGAGACAATGAGTAGGAACCTTGGAGCCAGGTTTAAGCGCTTGACCAGCACTTACTGTGCTGTTGCCATTACTGGTGACTGCTTTGCAGGTTGGCTCTGGTTTCCTGATTCATATGCAGATTAATCCAGTTAATAGTGCTGAAGCCATATTACTCAAAATTTGCATATTGAGAAATGGTCAACTGTTACATCAAGATTTTTTACCTTTTCTTCCCATCCCCCTTTTGTAATACTTTCCAAATTCACTGATAATGATTATCAGGCAGGAATTAATTTGGAAGAAACACAGGAATGTGGGATTCAGTTTTTTGGGGAGCAGTTTTGAGAGTTTTTAATGAGAGACTTGATAATGAAGGTAGGGTAATCTTTGGATTCATTTTGCACTGAAACCTTTTTCTGCTGTTTCAGAGGTGCTTGCTGAAGGATCCCCACGTCCTCTGTCTTCAGTGCCTGATGTGACACATCACCTGGTGACCATGCAGTCAGGGAGGCAGTCGTATGAGGTTTCTGTCTTAACTGCTGTAAATCCGCAGGAGGTAAATCTGTCTCTTGCTCTTTGTTTCTGTGGTGAGTAAGGTGGGGAATGATTGGGAATCTACTTCAGAGGATCTGAAAAACATTCTTGTTTCCCTTTCCTGGAGACTTTGACTAGAATATCTTCTTTTAAGCTAACCTGAGTGTTAGGGTCCCCTGAATTGAGAGATTGGTCATTCACGTCTGGGGCTCTCAACTTTAGTTTCCTTGATACACATGCCCTAATTTATCATTTTCATTTTGCCAGGGTTGTTTGTCTGGGAGATAACCAGGCTGAACCAACTGAGCATATGGGAATGTGTCCACTGGCTTGTTGAGTAAGAACTATTATCTAAATCAAAGAGGGCTTTCAGGTTGATTCTAAGCACCCCTTACTCTATTTGTTTGGTTCTGATCCAGAAAACAGAATGAAAACCAGTCGGGCTTCTAGAATCTTCGGATTGTCCTTTTACTGGCCTTGTGTTGTGGAGGTAGATTACTTCATCATGAGCTTATTTTATATGCACACGCTGTTCCCAAAGCTTGTATATCCTGGCTTTGGCATTAGAGTATCTTTTACTTTTCATTATAACCTTTAGACCACAGTCCATCATTACAGCCTTCAAATGACCCTGCCTCCTATTTGAGTTGTCTCAATTTTTCAGTAATATCTCTGAGGATACCCAAGTTCACAAGGCTCTGAGCATGCTGTTTTTGCCAGAACCCTTCCTTGTATTTATCATTGTGACCCACTGTCTCATTCTTGCTTATGTTATATTGAAAGCTTTTGTTATTTGTTATCATTGGTTCTTTTCCTAAGTCTCCTTCTCCTGGTGACTGCTTTGGAACATGTCTCATGTGGAGCCTTCCTCTATTTTTTCCCTGCTTCATATATCTGTCTAAAATTTTTTATTATGGAAGTTTTCAAAGAGTATATATACTGAGGAAGAGATTAGTATAATGAACCCAGGTAGATATCAACCCATCTTCAACAATTAACTATCTACTGTTCTTATCACTCCCCTCCTACTGTTTGCTGTTAATGTTTTTATTTATACTGGAGTATTTTAAATCAGATCACAGACATCTCATCTGTAAATATTTCAGTATATACCTCTAACAGATAAATGGTTTTCATAATTATATCTGTATCATACCCAATAAAATTAACCACAATTTATTGATGTCTTCTGATACTTAGCCTTTAAAATTTTTTCTCAGAAATATCTTTTTATGGTTGGTTGGTTTGAATTAGGATTCAAACAAAGCCTATATATTGCATTTGGTTAATAATTCTTTTATTTCTAATAGTCCACCCCTCTTTTTTTCAGTATAGCTATTTATTTAAGGAATTGGATTATTTGTCCTGTATAATTTCCCACATTTTTATTTTAGCTGATTGACTCCCTTTGTTGCTTGATACATTTCTCTATCCACAGATATCCTGGAAACTGGTAGTTACATTTAGGGGCTTGATTAGGTTCCTGTTTGTTTTTCCCTTGGCAAGAATATTTTGTTGGTGGTTCTCTTACTTCCTACTAGGTTTCATCAGGAGAGATATGATATTCAGTTGTTCTCTTACAGATCTCAAGATTGACCAGTGGGTTATGTAAAAGCTTTGGCAACCATTACTTATCATGGCCTAGATCTGTTTTTTCATTAGGGCTTAAACAGTGATATCCTGATTCTTCCTTTTCCTTCAGCTTTTATTAACTGTGATTCTTCTATAAAAGAAATACTTTCATTAACTATTGGGTTGAATAGTTCAGGAAAATCATTTCCTTCTCTTTGTATTTAGTACAAATTACCTGACATACCAATCCATAACACTCAGTGTTTTCTTTTTTTTAATGTTTGAAACTTTGGAGCTTTTCTCTCCCATACTACTAAATACCTTTTTTAATTGAAGCACTCCATATTACCCAAATAAATGCCAAATGTATGAAGACTTAATTCATTCAACAGATACTAATATATGTATCAGTAAATATTTAGTATGTCTAACAGATAAAGTTATTCATAATTATATCTTTATCATACCCAATAAAGTTAATAACAATTTATTGATATCCTCTGTTACTTAGCACAAGGCACCCTGCTGGGTACTAGTTATACAGTAGTAAATACAATCTCTGCCTCAAAGAGCTTATAGTCAGAGTTAGGGCCTCTACCTTTTATAACTACATAGCTATATAAATGGTGCCCCTGCAGTTGTGCTGTGTAGAGAGTTTAGAATGGGAAGGGCAATGGGTCAATAACTGGCAGATTTTATTCAGGGTAGTAGTGCTAGTCTTGGGGGAAGTCACGGAATAAATTTTAGAGCTTAAGTTGAGAGCTAAGGGATGAGTAGCAGTAATCTTGATGGAGACGTAGGAGGGATTTGGAAGAAATTTAACAGGTGTAAAGGTAAGCAGTATGCGCAAAGGCAGAAGGTACGAGGGAGCATGCCTGGCTATGGAACCACAAAGGGTTGAGTGTAGTGGACTTGGAATGGAAAGGTGTGGAATGGAAAAATGAGAGCAGGAAAGACAAGCTGGTTCCTCTCTTGGAGGGTCTTACAGGACATGATTTTATCCTGGGGGCACTGGGGAGACATGACATGTTTTTAAATGGGGTATGACATGGTCAGTTTTGTGTAGGCATAAAGTCCAATAATAGTACATTTGTTCTCTTGAACATGGAATTGGCTTCAAAGTGTCCTTGTCTGGGTGATGCTCACTGACAGCCTCAGGCAGACACAATAACACAAACTGCCTAAAAAAGAGAAAACAAAACTTGGCCTTCACCCCAGGAGAACACAAGGGCCTCTAATGGAAGCCTCAGACGCTTAATTGTGGATACCACCAGAGGAACGTGCAGCTCTTAGATGAAGCTGAACATCCTGCACGGTCACGTTTTCCTCATGGATCCTTGTGTGTATACAAATATAACTTCTGTTTGAGCCTCATTTACTTTATTTTCCTTTACTCTACCACTGTTATTTTCCTGTCATCAAGGCATTTCCATTGCTCATTCCCTCCTTTTCCTTCTCAAGGTAGGCTTATCACATTCTTCAGTACCTTTGATTTTTTTTCAAGCTATCAGCCCCCAAAGGCTCCAGGCTTCATCTTCTTCTTCGTCCAGGGTCTAGCTACTACCTGACCATTCTACCGGTGAATGAGGATTATTATTCCTTAAGGATTCTTTTCAGACGCCAGAGGAGAAGGCAGAGCAAACCTTAAAACAACATGTAGCCATTCCAAGTTGTTTCTTAAAGATCACCATGCATTGTAGATCAGACCTGTAAGAATCTATTGATGGACTTCCAATTGGACTCCTGTAAATATGCTCTAAAAATAAAGATAACTTATAAAGAATATCAGAGAACAACCAAGTCAAGTATCAGAAATTATCATGGAAAATATATGAAAAACTACAAGGTAACTCTCACTCAGATGGTTCAGATTGGACAGTTTTGATTTTCCCTCAGTGTGGCCAGGTCTTTTGAGAATCAGAGGACTCACTGTGCAGGCCCAGCAGAGACCTAAGGGCTTTTTGACCTCCTGTGGACTAAAGGTCATCCCAAATAGGGTTCTGTAGCTCCAGTGAGTTTACATTCTTGAACTTAAGAACCAGTATAAGTGATTGCCAGCTAGCTTTGACTTTATCTTAGAATATTTCCCAATTGAAAAAAGGAGGAAAACAAATGACCAATTCTTTAACATTTCTCAAAAGTGCCATTGCTAAGTTTGAGTGCAAACATGTGGCTCTTGGTCTAGATTAAATACATACCATTCCTAATCTCTACCACACAGCATCAAATCAGATCTGTAGTTTCTTTGTCTTAAGTTTTATGCTTTTCTTTAAATTTCTTTAACTTCTATACCATTAAATCCTACTATGTAAATTACCTTCATCTAAATTAAGATCACCAAATATATCTCCAGCTCAAAATTTATTTGATTAGATTTTAAAACATGTTCAGTGTTTATCCTGTTTTCATTCCCATCTCGTTTTGTTTTCATAATAAAATAGAACCCAGTTTCATCCATTATTATGCAAAACCGCCTTACAGTAGCAACCCTGGGTGTAGAGTAGAATGTCCACCCTATTGGAGACGCTCAGGCTTGTCTTCCTCATCACAGGAAAGGTATTTTAAGGCCAGGAAATCTCTGATTTTTCATGACTGGGTTGTAGCTTTCATGTAGAACCCCATTCCTCTTACTTCTACTTGAATCTGCAGCCTTTGGTTAACTGACTTTGGTTTAACAGTACCTTGGTTAACTGATCGATATAAGATTTTTGGTTCCACCAGTTCTGATTTGCCTGACTAGTGAGTGTGATTACACAAATAATAATTTGGCTTATAGAATATTATTATTATTATTATTATCAGGATATCTTACTGCCATAGTGGAAATGACAGCATCAAGTGGTCAAAGTGCTGTCCCAAGGTCAGTATATAAATGAGATCTATCAGTCTCTGCATGTCTCTTGCTTTGGAGCTAGCTATCCCTGACTTACCCTTGTAATGTATTCCCCACCCCCAGTTGTAAACCTTTCACTTAGTATGAGTTATTTTTCCTATTATTCACTGGTAACTATTCCAGATTTGTTTTTAATCTCTTACAGTTACTAAACCAAGGAGATTTAACTGAAAGACGGACATGAGCCATGGGTGCTGACTCCTGGAAGAGTAGCTCTGTCTGATCCCAGAGTGCATTCAGTGGGAACAGGATGCTTATGGCTCACAAGTTGCCAGAACCAAAACAAAAAAGGACCCCACTTGCCTCTGTTCATCTTTCCTGGCCTAGAAGATGAATGTAGGAGAGCTTCTCTTCAGTTACCATCTGATGCAGACAAGGAAGAAAGCAGTGAATATAGGCTGGGTAACTGGACCTACCTCTCTTCCCACTGCACAGTTTTGGGATAGACTTCTCCCAGAAGTGAGTTTGATTACGTGTTGGCTGCAGTTTCTCAGTAAGACTATTGAGGGGAGGTTTTCCTTTGAAGAATTTTCATCCCAGACTGAGCTGTCTTTTCACTTGGGTGAACTAAATCCTGCCACCAACCATAAAACTTCACCAAGAAGTTCAGCTTTCAAGATGCCTTGTTGCTTCAGAGAAGGGTATGATGTCAGTCCTGTTGTGACATTCTCCCTTTAGCAACCTGAGTAAGAGACTCTCCGCCACTGGGCTGCAAAAAAATAAATTACTTGAATCCCTGCTTGGCCCAGGCTGAGGTACTATCTTGTCCTAATCACCTCTACTTGGCCACTTTGCTTTCTTTGTTTATGGAACATACAGTAGCATGTTAAGAGGTTTTTTTTAAGTTAAAAATCATGTGATTCAGAGCTTCAACTGTTTTTCCTTTAAATAAAACAGCTGGTCAGTTCTTTGGCTCCTTGTGTTAAACAAATTTGTTTTCTTAGAGAGTAGATTAAGAAAATAATTCAGCCTTTCCCTTTAAGATGGGGCACTGATTTACCCCTAGGAGTCCATGCAGGTAAAACTGAGCTCAGAAGTCTCGGGGCGCCTCACACGAGCATCTTCATCCCCAACCAACAAACCCAGATGCTGGTTAGTAGAGTGTCACTCTCGTCATCACCAAAAGGACCATGTTTGAGTCTGGACAAATGGCAGTAATAACAGATACTCTTGAAACTGTCCAGAAAGGTAGTTTTAAAAACATGATCAAAGTTCTCCTGTTAGAGCAGGCACTCTTGCTGTTATTCTATCTTTATAGGATCTTCTCTCTTTATAGGATGATAGATCTCTCATCCTGAGAGAGAATATCTAATTATTATTGCTGAGAAGAAAAGTATCCAAAGATCGCTTACTAGTAGGACGTCATGGCTGTCAGAAGAAGTTTCAAATTTATTAAAATGAACCTCATGCTGACACAGTACATACATGCACACAGTGGCACATTCTGAGAAGATACAGCAAAGAATTAACTGCTGTTTTAAATAAAGTAATTACAGTGATAGTTCTTAGTTTGTTAATGACATGCATAATTACCCTGAGTTCATACTTCTATTTTAAAAATGCCAGTTTTATACGAGAACTTACACTTATTTTTATACTAGAACAATGATCTTCAACCAAGGACATTTTGCTACCCAGGGGACTTTTCGCAATATCTGGAGACATTTTTGGTTGTCAGAACTGGGGAGAGGGATGCTATTGGCATTTAGTGAGTACAGGCCAGGGGTGCTGCTTAACATTCTACAGTGTATAGCTCCCTCACCCCAAAGTGTCATCTGACCCAAAATGTCAATAGTGTTGAGACTGAGAAACCCTGTATTTTGGGTCGCAAAGGTGTCATCCCCCATGGGCTAATTCTGATCCACAAATGTGAATAATTTTGCCCACACATTATTTCCAAATAATTTGGGGGTGGGGGTGGGGGTGGGCCATGCAGCTTGTGGGATCTTAATTCCCTGACTAGGGAATGAACCTGCACCTTGGCAGTGAAAGCAGAGTCTTAACCACTGGACCACCAGGGGATTCCCAGTAATTTTTAGTTGCCAACATGCAAATTTCTGGTTTCTGTTGAAAATGTGGTTTATCTGGCAATTCTAGGCCCATAGTCCAGCAGGACAATATTTTCCAGTCTCTTTTTTATCTCCTGCTATCTTACGGCTAGCCCATATGACCCATTTGTTTCCTGACCAGGAAGACTTACACCTTTTTTTCTGTACCTATACTTAAGTGTGAGGCACAAAGAACCATTAATCAGCTCTGATCTCTCCATCTCGAACTTCTCACTTTGATTTAACTTGGATTATTCTCTGTTATCTATTTTTCTTCCCCCCCATTCTCCAGAAGTAACCATGACTCAAAAATCCAAGTTTTGCCCACCTTGACTCAACCCCAAGTTTGCTGCTTGATACTATTCAAAAGCAGTATTGTAAGTATCCTTATTAAGCAAGTGTTCTGAGATTATCTGGTAATTCGTAAGACAGCTCCTTCAGTTCTTTCATGGGACTTGAAATCTGTTCCAGAGATTCTTCTAAATCCTGCTGTGGATTCCTGATGCCAACTTTTGTAGTTTCATGAGTGCTGCAGAATAAAGCATTATACAATTTTAAGTTTTAAAGGAACCATCATGTAAGGCATAAGCATGGTTTCAAGATTATCATTATTCTGTATGGGGTAGAAAGGCAAATTTCTAGGGGGAAAATGGAGATAGGAATTAGGGTAAGGGCTGCTAGGACTTAACGAAACAAAATTTGAGAGTAGTGGGAATACGGTACTTTTTTCCCTTTGACTTAGATGATATCAATGGAGGAGATGGTGCTAATGAGTTACTTTTAAAAAATGCTAGATTTGAACAAGCCATGGTGACCATGCTGAAGGGAAAAGAAAGGCTTTGATCAAGCTTTTATAGCTTTTATTGGGCTCTATAAAGGTTTCTACCTTCGCTTGTCAAAGAGTGTAATTTAACATTTAATAGGAAGTAAAAGTACATGATTTTTCTTCAAAAGTGAAGGCATTGGACTGAAATTAGAAAAATGATCTGTTTCATATTGAAGGAATCTAGACCTAATATACAATGGTTATATTTTATTCACAACTGCACTACACACCAAATTTAAATGTGTTACTTGGAGATCCCTGGTTTAGTATACTGTAAGTATAGGATTGTGACCTCAGAATATGAGTGAATGTTCTAAAGCTTCCTCCCAGCGGCACTGCTAGAGATGCAGTTTGAGAGCTGCAGGATGACCCCAATCACCTGGGACAATCACCGACTTCCCACTGCTCCTTCCACTGTAGAGCCCGGCTGCCCTGACCCTTGTTCCTCACAAAGTCTTCATCCAGCCCAGCCTGCTTCAGGGTGTCTCGATACCGCTGTTCTGCTTCCTTCCTGGCAAGGTCCTGTGGAATAGAAATGAATCTGCTATAGCTGAATTACCAGATTAATTCTAAATTGCCTGTTTAATCTGTATGCTTTAATACTTCTTTCCCACCCCACCATTAATGCTGTACACAGATTTGTATGAAGATTACTTAGAGCCTCGTTTTCAAGCTTCAAAGTACATAGGAACTACCTGAAGATTGGATTACAATGCAGATACTCATTTGGTAGTTCTCAGATGGGGCCTGCAATTCTGTATTTCTAATACTCTCAGGAGATGCCAATTGCTGTTTTGGGAACCACATCTTTGCCAGCCAAGGATTCAGATTTTTGGAAGACCAAGTGAGACAACAATGAAAAAGATGGACTTAAAACATTTAAGATTCAAAAGCAACCAAACCATCATCAGGAACACTTACATATAACAGACTGAAAATAAGCTGCAGTAGTAACATTTGTAACAGGGTGGATGGTCTGTACATAGACCAGAAAAGGGTTAGTTTTTGCTTATTTGTTTAAGTGATATTTTTCCCAGAGTGGTGAAAGATCTTTTGAGATCTGAGAGTGAACTTCCTAGGAAAAAGCTAACATAAAGAGCAAGAGTCATAAGAAATTTTTTCTTAGAAATCTAAGTTGCTAAGTAAATCCAAGACAATCCAGTGTGTGTGTGTGTGTGTCTGGGGAGGACTGGACCCAGGAAATACCTCAATAATGCACTGATTGTGTGTGTGTGTGTGTGTGTGTGTGTGTGTGTGTGTGTGTGTGTCTGGGGAGGACTGGACCCAACCTCTCATAGATGGAGATGGGGAGGCCGGGCTCTGAAGCCCTGACAGCCCCCTTTACCCACCCCCAACCCCGCCCTGACTGTGCTGTCGCAGGCAGTGTGTCTGGGGAGGACTGGACCCAGGAAATACCTCAATAATGCACTGATAATGTGTGTGTGTGTGTGTGTGTGTGTATGATATGCAGGAAGCTGGGGAGGACTGGACCCAGGAAATACCTCAATAATGCACTGATAATGCCCAGCATTTGGAACCAGGTCATTATGGAATGCCAACTTTTGTTTGAAACTCTGGAGAGGAGAGAGATTTACAGGGCCTGATGCAGCTCAAAGCTATCTGGGATGGTGGCCTTTCTAAGGCTGTTCAGGTAACCCCAGAGCTTCCTTAGGGAAATCTCAACTGAGTCCAACTTCCCTAAAAGTCTAGAGAACATCTTAAAGAGAATCTTGCAGTTGGAAAGCCACTTAACCTGGAAGAGGCCTTGTGGGGTGCTTGCGAGCATCCCAACCCCTGAGGACCTATAAATGTGCCACAGCTCCAGAAACTGGGGATGCCTGGGGCACCAGCACTACAGGAGGAGAGGTGACGTTAGCAAGTTAGAGATACTCTTAACAGAGCCAGACTGTCAAGTGTATGTCTAGAATCTAACCTCTGTTTTGATTCAAACTGTAAACTAGACTATAGTGAAAACCCCAGGAAGTGAAATATCCTTTTATAGATGCCTTTGGAATACAGTCTTGGATGAAATCAGTCCAAACAGTATTCACCAATGCACTACTTTCTCTGGGAAAGACAGCAGTAATAAAATGAGCCAAATTTAGAATCTTTCTGAGCCTAAGGGAAGTGTTTAATACCTAGATATTAAACTGTTTCATAATTTCTAAGAGCCATCTCATCCAAGACAGAAAATAAATGATATTTTAGATTTACCTTGGTAACCTGTTCGAAGAGATAAGGCCGCCTTTGTATTCTTTCCTTCATTTCCTCCAGTTCTTTCTTATACTCTTTTGCTCTTTTACGGTCATTGTTCCTGAAATTAACAAGACTTTTAGAGTGAATTCCAGGTTTTTCCAATCTGGAATACCTTTAATTCCAGTTAAATGGAATAACTCCCATAGACATTGGAAATTCCTAACTGTGCCTGGCAAAATTCTTGACTATGATTACAGGAGCCTACTGTAATAACCCCATTTTCAAGGCAAGTGGCTCCCAAGATAGTTATCCCTTTGACACATGGAGGACACTGACCGATTCTCTTTGAGCTTTGCTTTGAACACCTCCTCCAGGCTCTTATGGGGATCCATGGCTTTTGCACGCAAAGTGACAGATTTAGATATTGCCTGACACTTCTTTTTGTGCATCTCCAACCACTGAGTACTTTCATCTGCTTTGTCCTTTTTCTCAAGTGAACATCTAAAGGGAAGAGGCAAGAAAAATACAGGTGACCAACCTGGGTATAATTTAAAGCAATCTTAGTAACCCCTCTGGAAAGTCAGTTGGTTTTTTCTATGAACAGGTGACTACCACACTGGGATTTCAGAAAGAATAAGATTCTGTGGTTAAATGCACTGGCAGATGAAGCCTTTCCAGCACCATGGACAGTGAGTTTCTACCCTAGGAGAATTTCATCAATTGAACTGGAAAACATGAAATAAAAATACTCTTAGACTCAGGCTTCCTGCTATCTGGAAACAGTAATACTAATAAGTACCATTTGCTGAGCTACCTACACTGACCCAAGTACAAACAGACACCAATAAGTACTTTAAAGCTATTAGTTTTTATAATCCTAACAGCTGCCATCTGAAGTAAGGACAGTATGTCTCCCTGTTCATAGGCAACAAGACTGGGCCTCAAGGAGGATAAGCTACTTGCTCAAAGCTACCCAGCATGCAAGTGAAAGCCAAGGTTAAAACCAAGATGTCTGACTCCCAAGCCTCTGCCCTTGACAACTATGCTGTAAATGGTAGATTGGAAGGTGCCTGAGTTCATGGTCCTTTGGGAATCCATATCTGCGTTTCCATGGAGACCTGGAAATGGGTCTCCCTCAATGCACAGACAATTTGGGATCAACTTGCAGCATTTAGTTTGTGTAAATACTCTACAAGGTACTATGGAGAATTCTACCAAAAGAGTCCAGACTCTTGCAGTTGGATGTTTATATTCAAACAGATACTAGGAAGGAGGGTGGGAAAGTTTAGCCTGCTAATATGTCATACTCCCTATTGCCAGAACGCAGACGTGGACATCCTCTGCAGGTGGGCCACCCTCTGGTTGATGAGACCTATCGTAGTGAGGCCTCAGAATAGAGGCACTGAGCCTTGATTTAGCAGCTGTGAATGAAATTTGAGGAAGAAGGGAGTATCCTTTAGATTCTAAATACATTTCTAAAATCCCCATTGTGGGTCTTCAGCAGCCAAGTAGGTTCTGTGCACTCCTGTGAGCCCCACAGGAAGGCACTGAGATGCCAGTCCTCCCAGGGTTAAGCCACCTGTTACACTGACTGCTCCTGCTGTCTTCAGCTGAGGTCTGGTGGAGGAACTCCTGCTGGGGCACTGGCTGGATGAGAACACCACCAGGACAGTCAGGTCAATTAAAGAGTTAAAAATAAGGAGGCTCCTGTTTCCCAACTGATTTATAATAGTTCCCCAAGATGAATCAGAAAATCTCAAATCTCTGCCATGGATGCCTCATCTTCTTTATGGCAGGTTCAGGCTTCTCTGAATTCCTGTTCCTGTAGCTTCCTCTTTCACCAGCGGATCTCCATCTGTTTGGAAACTTCTTTCTTTCCAGCCTTTATCTAGCTGACTCCTCATTCTTAAGGTTTCACCTTAGACATCTATTACAAGAGACCCAGGCTGCCCAGTGCCCCTACAATTCCCCACATTCCCCCATCATTATACTACTCACAAGATACAATAGTTGCTGCTTTTCTCTTCTGCATTTCAGACTAGATATAAACTATAGGTTCCATAATGTATCTCCACCTTTATCACTGTGCCCAGCACAAAGTAAGTCCCCCAAGGACACTGGCTGAGGGATGGCTAGGCATTCTGCAGCACTCAGTGTGTGAGGGTCACATGAATTCCTGTCCTGATCAGAGGCTCCCTTTCCACCCCTTTCTTGGCCTCTCTTATGACAAGAGAGGAGGCTCAGCAGATAAGTGCATTCCAGTATTTGGGCCAAGATCTGAGCACCATGAGCCTCGTGCAGCCTGACCACTCACCGGACCGCAGATTCCCGCTTCCTGGTGGCATCTGTGATATGTACAGGGAGGGTGTTGGCAGAGAGGGAAGCAAGGCCATTCAGAGAACGACTCCTCGACAGGCGTGTGGCGGGTGGCTCTGGAGATTCCTAGAAGAAACAAAGGCTGATACTGGTGGGACAGCATGTGCAATTAGTTTCTGTCTTCACTAGGATTTAACTGCGGTGAAGTACTAGTCAGAGTCTTCATTTAATCCCAAAGTTTTTAATTAGAGGAGAAGAGTTCTTTGGAATTGGTACTGGGACATGGCTAATGGATATCAACTCCCTGGCTTCCAGACTTGCTTGGACTTCTTTCTGCAAAGTCACTCTACCGAGAGGAAAGGAAGGAAAGTATTCTTGTGGTCCTAAATGTTTAGGATCTGTGAATCTGCTTACAGCTGAGCCAGTATTTTTTGGTTTTCTTTTTGTGAGAAGTGCCTTCCATTGACACCTGGCCCCTCCTGTGTGTTGGGCCTTGGCCCTGTCCCTCCTGCCTGAGCGCTCACCTTTCTACCTTCAGAGGCGGCGACATCACAGGGCCTCCGAGTGTGACACAGGCTGGCAGTTCTCAGCAAGAAGGGCTTGTTGCGCGTTGCCTCCCGGGTGTCTCTTCTCTTGGCAGCTTGCTTCTGGAAGGCCTTATAAAGTTCTTCGTAATCAGGGATGGCAGGATTCACCCGAGGCTGGAATCCAAAGTCAGTGTGCAGAAACCCAAGCTTTTCCTCCCGGGTCCGTGTGGCTGCTCGAGGCTGTCGGTCAGCCTGGCTACTGGAGGGGGCGATGGGGGATGAGGCCTTCTGGAGCGTGTCTAGGGCTCTCATACGGATGCGAATTTTCCTAAGGAGCTCAGCTTCTGTGCAAGAGAAGTCAGGGTGGCAGTGGGTGAGAAGGGACCAAGCTTCATATCAAAAGGTTTGGAGAGCTTTCCCTCTTAAACACTCGCAGTGATGGAGTGTAACGAGGCTGGAACCCGTGATTAACTTTCCAGGAATTTTGCAAGCCAGCTGGCACCGTGTGGAAAGTTTGAAATTGGCCAGGATAGGAGTATTATTCCATGAAAATGGCAAACACTACAACTTCCTTTTTTTTCTGTTTTTTTCTAGAGAGTGCCCTAATGAATGTTGACTAGGACATTACTGCTATGTGCCAATCAGGCTGCAGAAGCAGCTACCATTTACACTTACTGAGCACTTTCTACAGTGCCTTCTTCAGAGATGAAGCAGGAGGGATGGGCCAGACCCCGGCTCCTCTCCCAGGTCTCCCTTGGGCAGAGGCCCCACTGTCCACTCAACTGCCCAAGCTCACATCACTCTTACTGCCTCCTTTCTCATTTCAATCAGTCACAGGTTCTGCCATCTCCTCCTCTTTAACCTCTCTCTGGGCCAGCCTCTTTTCCGTCCTGTCTTATTCATAATTTCTCAACTGAGTCACTGATATAGGCCTCTGTAGATCACAATCCCTCTGGACTCGCCCATCCCCCTTTATTATCCCCAGAGCAAAGTGAGCTTTCTGAACTGTGTATCTGACCACAAGTCACCCTAAAACCCTTCACTGGGGACTTCCCCGATGGCTAAGACTCCACGCTCCCAATGCAGGAGGCCCAGGTTCAATCTAGATACAGATCTAGGTCACGGAACTAGATTCCACATGCCGCCACGAAGACCCTGCTCCACCAAATAAATGAAATCTGAAAAATAAAACCCAACCCCTTCAGTGTCTCCCTGCTGCCCTTGGGATGAAGGCCAAACTCCCTCCCACAGCCTACAAGGCCCCAGGCCTGGCTTGTGCCTGTCTGTCCCACCCCTCTCTCCTTTCTCTTTCCCCTCTACTTTTCCATGCCTTGAATGTGCTCAGCTTTCTTACCTTCAATACTCTTGGCTCTTCCTGATACACTCTTCATTCCTTTTCTTCAAATTCCCCACGCTCCTTCAGGGTCAGCCCCCAGGCTCTCTTTCCTCTGGGGACCTTCCCTCACTGTTCCCACGCCTCACTGCAGTCAGGAACTCTGTTACATGTTCCACAGGCTCCCCCCGGCTTTCCCCTTTATCCCCTGCAAGTGACTCATCACATTTGTCATGATTTGTCTGTCTCCCTCCCTTGTCCACAAACTCAACATCTGTTTCTTCACACCTGGGGTGTGGCACGTGTTCCTGAATGAGCGAATAAAGCCAGAGTCAAGAAGCTTCGCTTCTTGAAATGTACCTCACAGGAGGTGGGAGGGGGCCTTTCCTTGGGGGCAGCTGGCTAGCAGTGGTACTGGCCTAGGTTGGTCCCCGGCTGTCTCAGTGGTTCTCTGCTCCGGCGCCTGTGCTGCCACAGAGGTTGTGGCATCCACTCACTGAGACAGACGAGGTCATCGGGATGAACCTCGGGCCTGCCACCCCTCTGCCGACCAGGCGCCACCATTGGACCGTGGCCTGGGCCTGCACTGAGCAAGATCTCTGGCGGGTCCACCCCCGAACAGCCCATCTCCAAGCAAGGATGACCCCTGAGCCCGACTCACTCCCCCACAGCACCCCCTTGGCACCTCTGGGTAGGAGGGGGCTGGGAGGTTAAGGATGTCTTTACCCTGGAGTTTGTCCCCGAGGGCTGGCTCCAGAATGGACTTGGGGATCCTCCTGGTGGCCTTCTGCTTGGGGACTTTGGCTGTAGTGGCAGTGGTGGCCAGGTGCCTCTGCAGAGCAGCTTGCTTTCTCTGCTCCTCCTTCTCTAGGAAGCTGAAGGGCTTCAAGGAAGAGAGGAGCAGCTCCTTCCTCTTCTGGATCCCCGCCCGCCTGCGCGCCTCGTTGCGCTCCATTACCTCCTGGTAGAGGGGCAGGTAGACGTGGGCGGGCACGGGCTGGGCCCGGAACTGCCGGTGGCACTCGGCCTCCTCCCAGCCCTGTTTCTCGGCCTGCCGCCTCTCAGGCTCAAAGGAGGCCGGGGAGGCGAGCCACTGCGCCTTCTTCCTGGCCTCGCGCAGCGTCATGCGGAACGGCTGAGGGACGGTGATGGATGACGCCCAGGAGCTGATGCTTCTGTGCCGGGAGGGAGGCCTGAAGCCGGACGGTGGCTGTGGATGAGCCTTGGGAGTACGGGAGGGCAGGGTGCCCCAGGAGCTGCAGCGCCTCACGGAGCCACACCTGGGGGACAGAGCAGCTGTGTGCGTGGAGGACAGGGCGGCCAGGACGCCCGGCTCCTCCAGAGTCCTCCACCTCCCCCCCCACCTTCCATCAGGTCACACCTAGTTTCTCAGTCTCACGTCACAGCCCCACAGGCCTCTGGTTTGGTGGCTGGTGGTTTTAGTCGGTAAGTCATGTCCGACTCTTGTGACCCTATGGACTGTAGCCCACCAGGCTCCTCTGTCCAAGGGATTCTCCAGGCAAGAATACTGAAGTGGGCTGCCATTTCCTTCTCCAGGGGATCTTCCTGACCCAAGAATTGAACCCAAGTCTCCTGTATTGCAGGCAGATGACTTACTGACTGCCTCTAGGCATGCCTTTTTCTCAACCCGGCCTCTCTCCTTCCCACAGGCCAACCCGGCAGCCCTAGAAGGAAGTCTTCTCTTAGAATTGATCTAAGAATTTTCTACTTTGCACTTGAATCTTTTCATTCGGTAGAGAGAAGAGGGCAGTGATGAGGAGGAGGGCTTTAGAGTCAGGCCCAGGTTCAAAACTTGCTTCAAACAATTACCAGCTATGTGACCTCCAGCAAGGTTCTCCTGGAACCTCAATTTCCTCATCTGCAGGATGGCAAAAATGATATCTGCTTACAGGATTATTGGAAGGAGGAAAGAAATACTACAAGACATAAAGTAGAACCACATAGAGCAGGGCTTGGCAAGGTAAATGGACCTCGGTGCCATTCTCAGGAAGGTAGCATATTTGGGAAAGGCATCTCTTTAATCGATCCCAAAGTTTCAGTTGACTAAGGGTTACCCAGCATGATTAAGGACTGCTGGGTAGGAATCAGAACATGTTTGGCTGATGCTGAGCTGGAGCCTGGGTAAGTGGCACTTGCAGAAGGTCTTTGTTTTACTCAGGAGGAAGATGAGGCCTAGAGTCACAACGTGGCTTGGCCAGAGCTGTGCGCTGCCTTACCTCGCAGATGGGGGGTACTGCACCTGTGGCTTCCCCCTGCCTTTGTCTTGGAAGAAACGCTCCGGGTCCTCATCCTCTTCAGAGAGGCTCTCATCACTGTCTGGGTCAGACGGATAGAGGGATTCCAACCGGCACCGCCTGTCTTTCTGCCTCAGTGCCTGCAGAGTCTCGAAAAAACTCCCAGTTGAGTCAGAAGTAGAGTCTGTCTCCTCCTCTGGACTGAGGAACTCACTGAGTTTGCTGGCCCTGGGCAAAACCAGCCCATCCCCATGCAGCTCCTCGTCTGCGTCTGTGTCTGAGGAGGATTTGGGGGAAAATATCTAAAACAAAATAGAATAGACTGTGGGTCAAACTATGATTTCAACATGTAACTATTAATTTCATGTTAAATAAATCTATATATTAGGAACTGGGGCAGGGGACCAAGGAACATGTGTTACTTGCTTTAAAGAAATTTCATGTCTCAGAATATAGGCTGTGCTTGGTTGGAGGGCAGGAAAGGGAATCAGAGCTGAAGTTGGTTCATGCAGTGTGATGAGCCTTTGTGGAGTACCTACCTTCACCATGCACTCCTGCGCTCCAGGAATCCCACCTGTGACTTTGGCCACACTCTGGGACCTGCCCTTTGGGGGTTTTACCTACTAGTTGCCAATCTCCCTTTTCCTGCTTCCCCTGTCTACACCTCTGCTTTTCTCATATGCTAGCTAATTCCTACCCTCTTACTAGGAATGAGTAATTAACAGGAGAGACAGTGTGGTTTAGCTGAAAGAGTCCTAGAAAGTGGGAAATCTAACTGGGTTTAAACACTCCTTTCATTCAGAAAATATGTACTGGTGTTTAACGTGCAATGTGTGCAGCACCTTCACAGCATCATCTTTCAGGATTTGAAATAGCTCAGTTGGAATTCCATCACCTCCACTAGCTTTGTTCGTAGTGATGCTTTCTAAGGCCCCCTTGACTTCACATTCCAGGATGTCTGGCTCTAGGTGAGTGATCACACCATCGTGATTATCTGGGTCGTGAAGATCTTTTTTTTGTACAGTTCTGTCTATTCTTGCCACCTCTTCTTAATATCTTCTGCTTCTGTTAGGTCCATACCATTTCTGTCCTTTATCGAACCCATCTTTGCATGAAATGTTCCCTTGGTATCTCTAATTTTCTTGAAGAGATCTCTAGTCTTTCCCATTCTGTTGTTTTCCTCTATTTCTTTGCATTGATTGCTGAGGAAGGCTTTCTTATCTCTCCTTGCTATTCTTTGGAACTCTGCATTCAAATGGGAATATCTTTCCTTTTCTCCTTTGCTTTTCACTTCTCTTCTTTTCACAGCTATTTGTAAGGCCTCCTCAGACAACCATTTTGCCTTTTTGCATTTCTTTTCCATGGGGATGGTCTTGATCCCTGTCTCCTGTAAAATATCATGAACCTCCATCCATAGTTCATCAGGTACTCTATCAGATCTAGTCCCTTAAATCTATTTCTCACTTCCACTGTATAGTCATAAGGGATTTGATTTAGGTCATACCTGAATGGTCTAGTGGTTTTCC